CCGACGACAATGAGATTATATAAGTGGTGACAGCCTGCAGAATACTACTTTACGGAGGAGTCCCAGTATCCTTGTACTATACTCACAAAAGGTGAGCACACAGATACCGCAAGTAATTAGGAAGGCAAATAGAATGTTAGCCTTTATTGTAAGGCAAATTTGAGTGTAAAAGTGAGAGCCTTGCTATGACTCTACACAGCTTCGGTGAGACTGCCCCAGTCTGTAAAGAGTTCTGTTAAGAGCAATGAATGTCGTGCCAGTACATTTAACCAAGTCAGTTTTCATCAACAGTATCCAGTTTACATCTGATCTTTTAAAAAAAAAATTAAGAATATTTTTGAACCTAATATTTGTTGGTTGGCCAGAAGAGTGACAGATGGATTTTGTGTGAGAGGGACTCTTTTAAAATAAAGTACAAGATATTTATTTGTTGAGCTTTGAAAATTAATCTTAAGTATTTTTAAAACCCAAAAATTTGACCTTTTGTTGTCAGTTGCAAAGCCATGTTCTGATTCATAATTGCGTTAAAGGTCATACTCATAAATAATTACACTTTACCACATTTAATATTGATGTACTTTTCAAAATTTTGAATGTTACTGCATTTGGTATGTTATATTACCACTCCAGTTTATTTTCCCAAATATATCTTAATTTTGATACTTCTTTTACAAATCTGCAGAAAGCACGAGATCTTTAATTTTGAATGAAAAAATAAGAGTGTATCTTTATGGAAAAATTTAAGCAAATTAAATTGGAATTTTGTAAAAATGCTCCAGGATCATTTAAGAAAGGAAAGCTGCAAATCGTTTATATAAGATCTTAACTTTATAATATTCTTGCAAGAAATGGCAACAGACCTTTTTAAAAAACTGAAATCCTAAATGCATGGACTTGAGAGCTAATCAAATGCAGACAATAAAAAGAAGTTACTATTTATCTTGATTGGAAATCTGAGGAGAAATTTTGATTTATTTTCTTCATCCTCATTTTCAGCTATTAATTCTGAATAAATATTGAAATGATATGTAAGCAGTGATTTTTTTTTTACAGAATTATACATCTCATTCCAAAAGAAAAGGCAGTAAAGAGCAGATATTTACTTGCTGATTTGGAAATATTAGAATAAATTTTCCAATTTTGACCTCAAGGAAAATTTTGGGTAATTATTGGTATTCACCTAATGGGAATGCTGATCTTGCCTAATTTTATGGGGTTAGTTTTATTTACATAAGGTGGATGAGTTACCTGTTGGAATTGATGAGTATATGGAAAACAATGTAGATACTTAAAGGTAAATGTCACAGAATTAAGCAGGAATGTATACAAGCTCTCCAATGTCAATGCATCAAACAAATCATTCCAACTCTCTGAAACTCCAGTTGCAACAAACCCAACCTGTTCAACTTTTGAACAACCCACTCATTCCGGGTACTAATTTAGTGAACGTCCTCTGAATCGACTTCAATGCATTTATACTCTGCCTTAAATAAGGAGTCCAGAATATGGGGTGCGCTGTATTTGAGAGCCGGTTTCACGAGTGCCGTGTGTAACTGAAGTGTGACAACCTTACTTTTATGTTCAATGCCTCTCGTAATAAAAGATAGCATTCTATGACCCTTCTAAATTACTTGCTATGCTTGCATCATTCAGTCATTCTTTGTTTCAATTATACTTTTTCTTATTCTTTGTGAAATTTAACAATTTCACCTTTTCCACACATTATACTCTTTCTACAAGATTATTGTCCACTCTCCCAACCTATCTACATCTTCCTGCAGTTTCCTTATGTTTTCTTCACAACATGCTTTCCTACTTATCTTTGTGTTGTCTGTAAATTTAGCTGCCATGCTTTTCTTCTCCTTATCAAAGTCATTGATATAAGTTGTAAAAAGCAGAGGCCCTAACACTAATCCCTGTAGGATCTCTCTCATCACATCTTGCCAATCAGAAAGACTAATTTGTGCGTACTCTCTGTTGTGCCAATAGCTGATCATCTATTCATGCAAACTTATTGCCCTTTGCACATGAGTTCCTACTTTGAGCAATAACCATTTATGTGGTGTCTTGTCAAAGGCCTTTTGTAGTACATCTTAAAGGCTTTACCCACATCACTTATTACTCTTTCAAAGATCTCCAATAAATTGGGAAAATATTATTATCCTTTCTCAAATCATGCTGATGTTTTTCTGAGTGCTCAACTTCAACCTTACTGATTTGATTTTAACAACTTCCTCATGGCAGATGTCAAGCTAACTGGCCTAGAGTTTCCTATTTTCTGCCTCTCTCCCATTTTGAAAAGAGGGGTTATATTTGCTACTTCCCTGTATATTGCAATTTTTCCAGAACCTAGTGAATTTTGGAAAACATGATACCAACACATTTACCACCTCATTAGCCATCTCTTAAGCCACTATAATGAAGTCTGTTATTAGAATGACCAAAAGTTTAATGAGGGAAAAATTAGAGTACACGAGAAAGCTAGCTGGAAAATAGAAACTTCTAATATTTTACAAAGATAAGAGTTAAAAAGTGGGTGGTGGTCATGTAGAAAGTGAGACAACAAAATTGATAATAGAAAATAAGGAGATAGATGGAGTGAACAGGTATTTTACATCGGTCTTATCGAGGGGATACATGTATGTAAATAAAGAAATGGAAGCTCGGGAGGAAGTTGGAAATCACAATCACCAGTGAAGTGGTGCAGAGTAAATTGTTGGAGCTGCAGACTGATATGTATCCAGGTCCTGATTGACAATATCCTGGAATAAATTGCTAGTGAGATAGATGCATTAA